TTAAATCCAACCTCCGCGTCTATCATCATAATCTTTCTGTTAATCCATCCCTGCTACGTATGTTATATATCTACATAATGAAGATTACATAGATTGGCCAGAGATATGTGTGTGTGTGTGTGTGTGTGTGTGTGTGTGTGTGTGTGTGTGTGTGTAAAGAATTAATAGATATTTTTATTCTGATATTTTTATTCATTTTTTTTATCTCTTCCTGAGAAAACATTTCCATTATCGGAATTTCTCAAATTTGCAGATCGTTATACGTAATACATACTGTTTAAAATGAAAAATTAAAATACGAGTGTCCATTAAAATAATGTTTGAAATACATACATACATACGTATATATATATATATATATATATATATATATTAAAGAAAAACAGACCACTTTAAGGTTCCATTATAATAATTTATTTCACCAGAGCCCTTTTAAAGGACGCCGGATCACCAGATAGCACTTCCAAAAATGAAACTAAAAATGAAATTAAAATTGATTTTTGTAATTTAACAGAGAGTGTAACGGAGTAGTTAAAGAGACATAGTAGAGTTTAGGGAGAGTTTAATTTAATATCTCTCTCAATCATACTTAGTATTGGGGGAGGAGCAGTGTCCAGACCTTGACCTATGATAGAAATTATTAGGAAGATTTGAGATAATCATAATTAAGTAATTCATCGAGTCTAGAAGAAACCTCAACAGAATGCAGAAAGCACTGGACGGCCGTTTCATCCTATATTTGGGACTCATCAGCAGGGCGCATCCACTATCGAGAATTGAAACTAGCTAGACTGGCGGAATCGAATGGCTGCGCCATTTACTTTCGTATGTATAATAATGGAGGCACGGTGGAGTAATGGATAGCGGCTTGGTTTGAGGAATCGGAAGGCCGAGTTAGAATTCCAGTCGTATGCATTACATTCACTTACTGGAAAAGGTATGAATCCTCTTCTTCCCCCCACCATTTGTGGGTAAATAGCAGGACAGACCGGTTTCTATGGCCTTGGATGTCAATTGGTTTACCGAAGAAAGAAATGGGAACATTCTGCGGTAAAAAAACATATGCCTCGTCAGTCATGTATCGAAAGATACATGATCGCCTAAGCCTGTATCGCGCATGGCATATAAATTACTGGCCCTTGGAAAAAGTATGAATCCTCTTTCTCTCACACCAGCTAGGGGTAAATAGCAGGACAGACTGCGTTCTATAGCCTTGAATGTTATCTGGTCTACCGCAGAAAAAATGGCAACCTACTGCGGGAAAAAATTTGCCTCGTCAGTCATGTATCGAAAGATATATGATCGCCTAAGCCTGTATCACGCATGGCACATAACTGACTGGCCCTTGGGAAAGGTATTAATACTCTTCTTCCCCCACCCCCAGCTATGGGTGAATAGTAGAGCAGACCGCGTTCTATAGTCTTGGATGGCAACGAGTCTACTGCAGAAAAAAATGGCAACCTACTGCGGCAAAAAAATCTGCCTCGTCAGTCATGTATCGAAAGATACATGATCGCTTTAGCGTGTATCACGCATGGCACATGACAGACTGATATATAATACACTATTAAAATGGAGAAATTGTTTATTATTATTACCATTATTATTCATAGCAGTAACTGCTTCACATGCATTGCCCATCACTCGAAGCGCACGCATGCGCACATATACCAGCAACGAGATACGGACATGCGCAGATTCTTATGAATGTCTCTAGTCGCCATATTTACGCTGAGCTCTTGACCGAGATGAAGATTTCTTTCTCTGGCTTTTCCCCCACAGTAAAACCGAGTGTTTGAAACAAGGAACCACCCCGGGGCACGAAACCAGCACCGTGCCACCTACTTATGCAAACTCATCTTCTTTTACTAATGGCGAGCACATCCGGGCATTAGATAATTGAAGCATTTCACCTGGAACATATTTGAGCTCGGTGAATCGCCATCGTGTCTATTGTTTGAAAAGGAAGAAATCGGGCAAATCCACGCTGTATCCGACAGAGAATCACAGGGTAAACAATGACACAACAAATAGTCGCCATTGAAATTATAATAAACTTAAGGATTTCCAGCAGTAAGAACGCCATTACTGTTAAGGGCAGTGCGTGTTGATATTTATCCATATGGCCTTCAGTCATCGATCTCTACAGTTAATCGATAATGATCTATCTAAACTTCTAACCGATCCATTGTACATCTGTACAAAAAGTAGTTTACAAGGTTATAAATACGTGCATATCTTAATGACCGATATTTACGGGTAAATGCTAAAAAGTTCTCGGTCCGAAAGAGATCTCCAAAATATGAGCAAATATCATTTTTCTTTTTCTTTTTTTTTTTTGCAGGTCTTTTCAGATCCCAAAACTTTTCAGTAGTGTCTCATATATATATATATATATATATATATATATATATATATATATATATATTGAGACATTTTATGTTTATACATTCTTTTTATAGATATAAATATTTAAGTATATGCTCTATTTATAATAAACTGTATGAAACAATATTTACCGGCCTGAATGTCCGAGAAATTTTCACAGAAAATATTCGTCCTCTGGCGTATAGGATACAGTTTCGAATCCTGTCGGAGGACGAATATTTTCTGTGGAAACTAATGAAAAAAGAATGTTAACAACAAATATTTTTTCAAACCCAACCCAGTTTTGCGGAATCAGAATCAACGTTGAGTTTAAGCAAGCGAATGAACCAATTGGAGTAAAGTGCCATGCAGATTTAAATTTTTTCCCACTTGTGACGAATGCAGCTATCGATTTTTTTTTGCATGCTAGTTAACATTCGTGTCAGTCAGCTGTTGACTCTCACGCTAGCCAATAGAATCTTCCTGCCTATCCGTGGCAGCCAGCTATAGGCTCTCACTCTGAGCAGTAAAAAATGGCCGCAAACTACATGAAAAGTCCCGTAGAGGCATGAAAAAATCGATTATTTCCACTATCGATGGGAGTTGAGAAATGCAAAGTCGGTCTTGGCCTTTCCACTAACTTGGAGCATGTGCATGTAAATTTTGGTGCAATCCGTCGAAAATTGCAGCCGTGTATTCGTTAGACACACTCACACACATCCTGCCTTTAATATATATATATATATATATATATATATATATATATATATATATATATATATATATATATATATATATTTATGAATAAAAATGACAATAGGAAAACTGATAATTGCTGACGCGTTTCGTCCACTGTGGACTTTATCAAAGCAAAATACTAAAATGAAATTAAATGAACAAAGTAACTAATAAAAACAAAAACAGAATGTACCTAGCAACTGGAATGTAGAGAAACGCTTTTTTCATATTTTTTAACTGAAAAATAACGTCAGTGATTGTCACGTTTGGAGAATATTGTCATTATATCTGTGTTGATGTATTCAACCATTTTCTTTTGATTTTATGAATCTGTTGTGCATATTTGTTTGTAAGAGCAATAATTTTGTTAAGAAAGGTGAAATGGGGAAAAACCTGGGCGTAGATTAATATTTGGGTAATTTTCTATGGCGGCACTCTCCAGAATTTTCCTTCTGAGTGAGTTATTTTCTTTTTTATGAGTGTAGCATTTTTAAAATCAAAATTATGGTTGAATTTATATCTATGTATGACTATTGCATTAGCTAAGTTGTTTTTTGTGAGGTCTCTTTTGTGCTCATAAATGCGTTTTTTCAAACTTCTACTTGTTTCTCCAATATATTGGGAGGAGCAGTTTTGGCAATTTATTTTATAAATGCCTGCTTCAAAAATATTAGTGCTATTATTGTTTGAAGATCTTAGTATATCTATAATGGTTTTGGAAGTGTTCGTGACTATTTCAAGATTATTTAGATGGGATAGGTTATTCTGGATCGTGGACGTGACAGAATTGGTCGGTAGTATTATGTATCTGTTTTCATGTGATTTATTATTGCGGATTGTGTTATTAGTTTTGTTTCGTTTGTATATTTTGTATGCCTTTCTTCTTGCATTGTGGATGAAATGATATGGGTATTGTAGCTTTTTGAATGTGTTTTCTATGTATGTTTCTTCTTTAATTAAATATTGAGGACTACAGATTCTTAATGCTCTTAGATAGAAACCTATAATAATTCCAGATTTAATTTTTGAAGGGTGGTTTGAGTAGAAGCTGATGAGATCATTTTTGTTTGTAGCCTTTCTGTAAACGTCAAAATTGTTTTCCTTGTTATTTCTAATTAACAAAATGTCCAGGAACAGAAGAGTGTAGTTGGTTTCAGTTTCAAAAGTGAAGTTTATTGTAGGTTCAATGTTGTTAAGTTTGGAGAGAAGATCCGTTAAATTGGTGTTTTTTGGAATTATTAATAACGAGTCGTCTATGTATCTGAAATATGAAGAGTTTGTAGGGAGAATATTTTTGAATGAGTCACATTCTAGAAATTCTAAAAATAGATACGCAAGAATATTGTCTTCTCTACTGGTTAAATCGGAGAAATTTTCATATATATATATATATATATATATATATATATATATATGTATGTATGTATGTATGTATTCGTTAAATTCTCTCTCCACCCACCTTTTATTTCTTAGGAAACTGCTTTGTCTGGTTTGTATAATTAATGTATCCATATGTACCCGATTTAGTTTAGGCCTGGCTGCCGTTAGCTGCCAATCTTCGGGTCATGACTCTTTTAGAAAAAAAATAATTTAATTTTTGCTTCTTTGCTGAGTTTAAAATTAACGTGGGCCATATTTGATTAGTTGATCAAAGTAAAATCTACAAAGCTTATTACCACCATTTTTTTTATTTGTTTCGTATAAAGAGGTTGTATTTTGCATTTACATCTGAATAAATCGTTCACTCGCCAGAAACAAAATAAAAAGCTCAAAAATGGTTCATTCTTTCCTTACATTTAATCGAGGGAATGTGAGCAATTATTATTTTTATTTTATACTCTTTTGGGACCTTTTATATTGTTTTTTAGTCATTAATTTCTCTCCTCCTTCGCTAT